TATTTGGCACAAATACCTCGAGTAATTTTTCAGAATTGTTAAACGTAATTTCACGAGCCGTTAGGTGAGTGAAATTTGGGACAAGTTTGAAATATCACGAGTGGTATTTATGCCAAATATCACGTACAAATCATGCTATTATTTGTTTATACTACTGGCCGCACAAGGTTTGTAATTTTCACATGTAGGTATTTCAAATAAAGCTGAAATACCACTACTCTAAGCCAATCAAATTGCAAAAAAAAACTCATGTAGTAGTATAAAAAGAGAAAAAGGCTCACTTTCGGATGGCGTGCACCGCTCACTCCCTATTTTAATATCTTCATCCTAACTGAACTGAGAATTTATTGCTGCAAACTCACGAACAAGAACAGACAATGCAAAGAGTCTAATAGACCATTTTACAGTTGTGGATTTAGTACCCTAGCCTTTGAGTGAATGTGAGGCTGACGTTGACCTTGTCTTGATACAAACCTCCTTTGCTTTGCCATGGAAATTGTCCTTGAAAAATACTGGTTAGAATGAGAATAAAATTTATTTACATAATGAAGCAGGAGGGTTTGTATCAAAACAAGGTCACCGTCAGCCTCGCTGCCAATGGCCTTTTCGCAAAAGAGGCTTGGTGAAGATAGACCTTTTCACGGTTTATGACGCCATCTTGGCTGGGGGGCAAACAAGGCTACGATTACAGTGAATGTAACGGCGTTATAGCGGTTTCAAGTGGGCCAAAATCGCATACATTCATTGTAATTTTAGCCGTGTTTGCCCCCAGCCAAGATGGCGCTATAAACCGTGAAAAGGTCTATTTTAGCTAGTCTAACTTGAACATGAATCAGAGCTATTACCATACTGAGACAGAAAAGAGCTAAATCGAATATAATTCTCACAATTTTCCGATTTCATACAATTTAATCGGCGTCTTTGATTTTTAGTTCCTCGCTAATATTGTTGACGCTTCATAGTATGTACAGCTGTATTTTCTAAGGAAAGGTTACAGTAGAACAAGGCTGAAATAGCTGAGCAGAATACTTAGGGAACATACCGAGACAGGAGGGTACAACTGCCATCAGGAACACTGCCACAAACGGTACGAGCACTTTCATGGTTTTATCAGACGGTTAAGTTAGTCCGATGTTTACTATAAAGAGAATAAAACGATGTCAATATCTTAGCTGGGTCACGCAAGATTTTAAAGTCAACCAGAGACTTGGTATCTATCTTACTCAAGTCAATCAAAGTTTTATAAAAAAAACAAAGATAGTACGCTCATTTCGATTGGTTAAAAACCTATGCTTCATTGTAAAAAATAAAAATAAATAAATAAAAAAAACAAAATCACTCTCTTTCAGCTCGTGTTTTACAAGCTTTTCTCGTGTTCTCTCAACATCCCAAGTGGTTTATCACGCCGGTAAACCCATAGAAAGAGTGGTCTCTTGCTTAATTGCACGAGAATTTTAGCGACTTTCAGCAACAGAGGGATAAATAATATCAGTATTAATAAAAATATAGCAGAATGCTTTACGTTGTCTCAATGTTATGTTTACTTTGCGTTTTCTAAGCCACTACTAAAACTCGGTAAACTGCCAGACATGCCACAAAAACGTAAGGCAAAACTATGTTTAAGATATTTTTAAAATTCTCATGAAATATATATAATGTTTTGCAACAAGGATTCTGACTTGTAAACTTGCGGGAGTACCAATCCTGTGGTTTGACCAAAATTGTGAAAGCAAGGTGTGCCCCAAGGGTCATTTCTAGGTCCTGTCCTTTTTTTTGTTCGTCAACAATATGCCTCTTCTTGTTCACAAGTCAACTAGGGACATTTATGCAGACGATTCCACCATATCTTCAAGTTCAAATTGGAAAACCATTTCATCACTAAATCAGGAATATCTGACGATTTGGCAGAGGTAAAGAGAGGGACTAGAGGTAACAAAATGTATATATATAAGTATGCAAAATACGAAAGCGTTGTTGGTTACGGAAAAGTGTCTACGGAGGCGTATTTATCAGGATACGGGAATGCTGGAAATCGTAATCGACATTCCAAAAACCGAGCAAGTCGCAAGTCATAAACTTCTTCGGTTTGATCATGGACGAAGACCTAACTTACGAAGTACATGTTGATGAACTCTGCAACAAGAATTCCAAGCGACTCGGCCATTAACGATATACCAGCCCATACTTGAAGAAAGATCAGAGAATAATTTGCTTCAACGCAGTCATAAGACAACTCACGTGTGTATGCAGTATGGACATCGTACAATAAAATGCTACTTGAGAATGTAAAAGCGGGCCGCGCGTATTATTCTAAATGCCCTTCGCATTAGGCGAACAGTAACTTTGTTTAACAGTTTAAGCTGGTCTCCCTTTTTACAATGAAGCATACATAAATCGCTGTGCACTTGCTTTCAAAAGAATAAGAATAAATGGAACATTGCCTCACTATTTAACAAAAAGCTCCGATAACCACCCGAAAAACACAAGAAATTGTAATTTAAATCTACTGGCCCCCCTCTAAAGAAATATTCTCAGAGAGGGCACGCACCTTCGCAGTGAAAACTGTTTCTGGAGGACTGGAATAACTTACCCAGATCCCCAGTAACAAAGAAGTCTTTGAAATCCTTCAAGACTGAACTATCGAAAGTACTATTAAATCCTTAAATCCCGCGTAATTCAGCTCCTACCTTTAAAACCCGAACGTGTCTTGTAAAGCCTGGTTGCCATATGATTGCTGCAATCAGTCAGATCGCTAAAAAGGGGCAGCGATCGCAGCAATATATGTAGCTTGTTTATCAGGCGCATGGTAAATTTAGGGTGCAAACAAGAACGGTGGCGTTGGCCTCGAGAGAGGTCTGGTGACGACGCACGTGAGTAGAAAATGTGTGTCCTTTTCCCTCAGGCGCATCTCGAGCCCCATAGAGTTTCCTATGCGCGCGCATGCCAAGCAGGCTATAATCCACATCGAAACAGTTCATTATCTATTTCGCCGAGAAAAAAAACAGAAACAGACTTAAACAAAATGTGTGCCGCCGAGGCGGTCTTGTTCAGCTTAAAAATATAACTTAATTGCGTTTCACGTTACCTTTTAACTATGGGCTTCCATTAATTTGATTAAAACAGTACAAAGTTATTTTAACACTTAACACAAGGGAAGATTGCTTCAAAGCTACTAGCTAGAATGTGATCTGAGCTGCGCGTATCATGACGTCATGGGTCTTTGTAGTGGAAACCAATATGTCAGTAGCTTCAACTGGGTGCACAGGCTGAACCCCCTGAACAAAAAACCTTCTTCATATAAAATGATCATCCTAATTAACATTCTATTGCTTTAGTCCAAAAAAAAAAAACCCGCGAACACTTTGATTTGATTTTTACAGTTCAATTTTGCACCCAGCAATCAAGTAAAACTTTTACCGCAAGAATACCAAACACTTTGTTTCGATCAGTCAGCCCTCATCGCATGTTCACTACCAAAGTACCAAAATTAAGTTCTTAATTCACGTTCCCTTACTCGACGAGTTTCTTTTATCGGGACGCGGACGACGTATTCACACAACAAAGTATAAAGAATTTACTTAATTAAGATCATCAGAGGTTTTGGCTTCAATTTTGATGTCTTTGGTGTAGAAGTACGGTAAGCTACGATAAGCATATCATTCGTTCAAGCGCTTCAAGTAAGTGGGGTAATTAAAGGCTTTTCCAAAATAAAAGAGTTTTTTAGAAAGAGCAAAAAGGGTACCAAAAGTACGTTGTCAAGAGCGGAAAGAAAATGCATCATGGGGAAGTCGAAATGGCCGTTTCCAAACTTTCGTCCATTTTGAAAAAGAAACTCAATCGCTTTTGGAACTTTTAACTAACTAAAGTCTTTATTTGGGAGAAATATGAAGAACTAAAAATTTCGCAAGTGGCGCCGATTTTTCGATATTTTCAAGAAAAGGGCTCTTAAAGAAATTTGTTCCTAACTTGGTGGTACAGTGCCTCAGGTTGTTTGAACCGAGGCAGAATTTAAACAAATGATATAGCCCGTATTTTAAATTAAAGCATCAAAACAGTTTTCAGCTTTACAGAAGCAATTTACCTTAGGATGCGGTGACGGCCTCTATGATAGTTGACACAAGGCCTTGCACGTACAGAATGATGTCCTACCTAAAATGCTATCACGTTTCTTTAAGGTTTTTTACGATCAGTGGTTCAATATCTCGATAAGAAGCTATAAAGTTCGTGCAATTGGAGTTAACGATTGGCTGTTTTGGGAGAGTCTCAAGTTTGTATCCGTAAGCCCGATATTCTCATGCAACTGTGTGCGAAAACTGTTCAGCCACCTCAATTATAAGAGCATGCATTGGCAATTAGGAGGAACTATTCGGTTGCCATCATTTAATTCTTGCTGTCTTACCATCTTCTTGATGTGTAAATGCTGTTGTACTGTTTTGGTTAATTTATCTTTTTTCCCTTACAGACTGTCTACGACCCTGAACATACGTTTCCAGTTGAGAGTCGTGAGTAAAATCACGCAGTCTCGGCGCGTTGAAAGCACGCTGGAAAATTGATCGATGTTCCAAAATTTAGTTCAAGTTTCTGTCTCTCGACGAAGTTTTGTTTTTCAAGCCGCGGATGAAATTTTCAGCCCCAAAAGCATAAAGGAAGTTTTGGCTTCAATTTCGATGTACAATTGGGTTTCTTTGGTGTAGAAGTGTACGGTAAGCTAATATTAGCCCACTCGCTCAAGCGCTTCAGTGCTTTTGGAACTTTTAATTTACTGTTTCTCTTTCGAAAATAACCAATTTAAGCTTTATTTGAGAAGAAAATGAAGAACTGAAACTTTCGGAAGTGGCGCTGTATATTCTATATTTTCAGAGTGGATGCTCTTTAATCAGTTCGGTTCCTCGCTTGGTATAATTCAACATTGTTTTCAATTTCTCTTGGGGCGATTGTTATAGCCCCACTGAGAAATGTATTTGGAGGGACAACAAAGAGCATTATGGTATTTTTGAAAAAAGGCCTATTGATTAAAAGCAAATCACTATTCTGCAGCTTTAAAGAAGGAAGTGACCTGATAGGATGAGGCAGCTCACGAGAATAATAGTGTTGACAGAGTCTTACACGTACAGAATAATATTTATCTTACCTAAAATGCAATCAAGTTTCTTTTAGAAACGCGCGATCCTGACAACGAGCGGACGTGTAGTACAGGATGTAATGAAATAAAGTATCAGTGATCTTTCGTCATTATAACATTATATATATAACTAACACTGACATAAAAGAATAAGTATAAACATTTCCTAGACGACGATCTCACTAGACAGATCGGACCCTTCTGGCCAGGATTAGCCAAGCACAGACACCTGTGGGACATCAGGAAATCATCGTCAGTTACTGTATTTAAAACTAAGCCCCCCCCCTCTAGACATATCAGTTTACGAATTCTTTTTATTTATAATTTTTATTATTAGCCTGAATTGTTTTGAATAATCTAGCTTTTTTTTTTTTTAATTAAGAGTTACGGTATTGTAAAGCGCCACGGACAATTAGTGGAGCATGGCGCTATATATAAAATGTGCTTTATCTTTCATTACTGGTAACGTTTTATAAGCCGTAGCCCATGTCTCAATTGCTGGGCCGCCTTTAGCAGTGTAAACATGGACAAAAGTTGAATAAATCAATTTGTTAACGTATAAACTATCGTTTCATTTTTCTACTTTTCACCCGGGCAAAATCATACTGGGCCCAGTTGCTCGAAGCATGGTTAGCGTTAACCAGCGTTTAATACCTTGACAACGTATTTGTTTTGATACTGCTTAACCAATGGTTAAAGCTAACCATGCTTTGAGTAACTCAGCCCTGGAAAATGGCTCCGACAATAATACCAGCTTCAGTTTTCAAACAATTAGAACTTTTTTTAGTAAATTTTCAAAAAGTTTAGTTAACTCAGTAGGTTATTGATAACACCTTAAACTTTTAACAGTGAACTGAAGTACAACCTTAGCTTTGAAGTACCTTGCTTAGCTTTTGCAAATTTCTCTCGTTTGATCGCGGTGAATAGCGCATGTCAGTAAAGGTCAACCTGTCATCCCCAGGCTTTATCTCTTGCCCCGTTGTCCGCGTAAAGTCTGGGAAAGGGTAGGCGTAGACTGCAAAACAGTCCGGTTTTTTCTCAAAATTGGTATTTTTAGCGTCTCTCCCTAGTCTCGCTCTCCGTTTTCAGCTTTTGTTTGACTTTTCGTGCGTACTTGAATACGCAAAAATACGGACTGTTTTGTAGTCTAGGGTAGGCGAGTCTCTCTCGGCGACGTCACAGCTCACGGTAGAGTCAAGACCTCAGTTGTTCAGAAGCTAGATAACGCTATCCATCGGATAAATCTCTATACAGTAGATAAGTACTATAAGAGAAACCAATTGCGTTATCCACTGGACAGAGATGTATCTGGTGGATAGCCCTATCCACCTTTTGAAAAACTGGAGCCAGGATTGTGCGAGGCGAGAACGTCTAGGGACTAATCTGGGTAAAAGTTATTTTCAAAAATGAAAGTAACCTGGCTGAACAGAATTAACATACCGAAAGAAGCGGGAATAACAGCAAACAGAAAAACAGCTGCCACAAAAGGGACGGGCAATATTATTATGGCTTTATCGGACTGCTCACATTTAGAATGATGGTGATTCTGATTAGATGATACCAAGATTTTTCAACTTGGTCAGACAAGATTGTTTAGCCCAACAGCCGCCTCTGCGCAATTCAGCACTGATGAACACTAATTCACGAGGCCATCGCTCATCGCTTTTTTCATGCCCCATGTTCTTATGCGCTTGCCACGCAGGCTATAATTTGTGTAGAAACAGTTCTACCGGCCGAGTTAGAGTTTAGTTCTGCCTTAAATAATCTCTATTGGAAGACTTAACACGTAAAATTGGTTCCGCTGAGCTGTTTTTTGTCAGCTTCATGTTCATTAATTGACAAGCGTTTGGCAAAGCCGGTTGTTTGCTGAGACCGTTTAAAATTCCATTTTCACATTGAAATCGCAAATACGATCTTCTACAAGGAAGAAGCCAGTGACTAACGGAGCAAGGATTGACGAATAGTTATAAACTCCTAGACTGCTTGCAGTCCTCCTTTTCTTTTAAAATCCTTCTAGTCTTATCTCAGCCAGCGCCACTATAAACCACGACGTTGTGTTACAATAAGGGATTGGGACGAGACTTTTTTCTTCTCGTGCTTACGCCCTCGTTTATCGCGGCTTCGCCGCTCGCTTGCTTGGGTTTCGCGTGCAGTAACTTTGCAAAGAAAAATAAGAGACTGCTCGCAGTCTATAAACACCAAGTCCGTCCTTTTGAAATTATCTATCTTAGAAATCAGGTACTTACGATAGATGTTCCACATTTCAGAACATATTTTCATTTGGGTTTTTTTGATGTGGCAGAAACTAATAGACCCACTTACCTTATTAGCTTATGTGTTAAATTCAGGCAAAATTCAGGCAAAGTAAAACAAATTGCTGCACAGTTCTAACTCGGTTCGTGCCGTTATGCCTAAGTGACAGCCGTCTATTTATTCTCTTTACTCAGGCTATTTTCGGTAAATTACTCATTGGCTCTAGCTGTTCAAGCACATGCATGATATGAATGAAAAGGAACCGATACTTAACCTCGAAGCTGAAAATTGTGACGAGGACAAAATATAAGTCTCTGCACTTCCGCCTCTCCCGAACTGAGCTTTGACACCAACACATCTTCACTGTAATTGCTCAGCTCGAGGCAGAACGGCTGTGGCCCTGGCCTTGGGAACTTTGGACGGACGCCATTACAGAGACGTTGATTCTGCCCCACCGTACCCTGGTATGGGTTGGGTTTTTAGGCCAAATTATGGAAAAAACCTTTTGTTGCAAGTATAGGGCTAATGGAATTAACGAATTAGCTTCCTTGTTGACTAAGTTGAACCGCTTACGGGAAGTCAAGCCTGAAGGCATGTAATACTCTCTTGAAACGTAATTTTAACCAGCATCAATCAACAAGAGCACTATATTCACTGTATATTTAACATGTGTCAGACACTTTGCTTGAATGATAGCAGTCCATTTTTCATTTTCATTCAGCCTATTTTGGCGAATATCAGCTAAATAAAACACAAGAATTAAGTCCGAGACTCCATCGAAACTGAAAACTGAACGAGGAAAAATTAATTTCACCCGGTACATCGTCACGCTTTGTGAAACAGTCGGTGCTACCCTTCGAGTCTTCGAACCTTTAGAGCATTCGGGTTGGCATTTTCGCCACTCAAATATATGAAGAAACGTATGAACAAAAGTGTATAGTTAAAAAACTAGAGCTAATGGAATGTGCTTCCTTCTTGACAAAGTGAAACTACCCGGAAGTCGAACCTTAAGGCATGTACTGTACACAATATTCAAAAAAGCTATATAACAATGCAAGTTCCAGTCCGACTTCCCTCGAAGGTCAAAACGCGCCACTAGTTTTAAAATCAACTAAACGGCCGCGAGAACAGTCAAAAAAGGCACAATTTCATTCTAACTGCAACGGAGTTTAGCTTCTATCACATACATTAAGACATGGCAAAGTAGAATTTATATACTAAAAAAAACCCTGAATATTTACAATTACTAACTCTCGCTGTCCAGCTTTCAACCACTACTTATAATAGTATAGGGGGGAAGGAGTGTGGGGGAGGGGGGAATTGGGGACAAATATTTTTGCAAGAAATTAAGGTATATAAGTTTTCTTATAAGCATTGCGGAATATGTAACTATTATTCCTGATGTTTGTAAATCCTTATGGAAAATACTCTATCAGCTCTTAACGATAAAGAAAGTATGCACCACGATTATATTTCGATTTGGACTTACAAAAAAGTGTTAATGAAGAAAGCCTCACCAGACAAGAAAGCCTGGGAATACCAGACTAACCAACAAGTTTTCTAATTAAGTTACAAGGCCAGAGTTGTTAGACTTTCAAGGTATATTTCAACTAGGCCTGCCTCAAAAGTCTGGTTCAACCATGGTTAATAATAGGGATACCAATTTCTTAGCCAGACATTTAGGCGCGAGAGAACATTTGCTCAAAAACACTGATTTACATCTTGTCAACATTCGTAACACTGCAGCGATTAATCAGGGATTGGCCCTCTTCTTTATGATCTCTCTGTTCATCTATTCACTCTCACCGAATATATTGATATTTTCAAACTGTTTTAGACATCAATATTTATCAAGGTCCCTAACACAATATTTGAATGCTACGAGTACTTTGATACTGGGCGCCTCGATGAAATGAGTCCTTCAGCCCCTATCGGTAAATTCAGAATGAGAAGGATCAATACTGGGTCAAATTTACGTACAAGCGACAGAAACGGAAATGTTTAAAAATCCCATACATCACTGTGAAGGCAAGAAATCATATTCTTCAGAGTGGCATGGTAGTTGGTGCTGCTCAGTCGAGCACCGAAGCAAGGAGTAATTTGAAGACTCTTGTTGTGACTGCTTTTAGTTGGCTGTTTTCTTGGTGCTTTGTTGCAGGCCATTGTGTCCGAGAAACCGTTTAAAACGCCTTAAAACTTTGACAAGGCAATCGTTGTCAATGACGAAGATAAACCAGATGCTTCTGACAAGACAGGCAGCGAAAATAAAGCCGAAAGAGGTGAAAAAACTTGCACAAAGCCGTGGAAGTTGTTAAGGTGGCTGAACACAGTTTTGGCCGTTTGTAAGTGTATGTCATTTGCCAAATCATAGCAAGAGAAAGGTTACAGCTCACAAGCTGAAACTCGGCAAGTGAAATATATACTGATGAAAGATTTTGATTCACAGGTAAAATTTGATGTTTTCGTTGTTTCCATGCCAACATGAACGATTTAATACAACCTTAAAATTTCACATTTGCTCAGTTTACATAAAATTCTCTCATCAGATTTTGCTATAAACGTGCACACAGCTTACTATAATTAATCATTACCATTTGAAACTTATTTGACCAACTTTTGACAGACAGGTTTTTAGATCAATAATAATTGTATTCTAATTATTAAATGTGTCACAAAATTTCTCTGTTCAACTTCCACTTTAAAATTCTCATTACTTAAGATACGATTAAAGTAAAAATTCTACCAAATATCAGGAAATTTTTATGAGTAGATTTTGAGAAATCGTTATCTGTGTATAATTGCTTTTTCGCTGCCATGTTTGTTTGTCTAATTTAAAACACGCGCCGTCACGCGAGTTACCGCTGACAGCTCGCAAAACTGTGTTTAGATGTTTAGCCACCTCAAGCACAAGGTGGATGATTTTAGGGTAACTATTTTTTTGGGCTGACGTGCCGGGGCTATAAGATCTCAATTCAAATTAAACTTTTAAGTTCACGTTCTTTCAACTTCGGTTGGATTTCACTGTTCGCATCCAGAACCTCAAACGATGACAAAAAAAAAAACAACAACAACAACAACAACAAAAACAAAGTGTTACTCTAATGGCTAGTAAGTTGACAGCACTCAGAGAGCTTAAAGGTGTACTTTACAAAACAAACTTTATTGTAAATCGCTTTTCAGAAGCAAAGACAATCATAAAGTAAACTGAGCAACTAGGCCGAGTCTTCATGGCAAGGCAAAACTTCAGTTCAATAAGACGCTTTCGTGATAATTACTGGGAGACTGTAACATAAATGTGGTTGCAATCTTCGGACATTTGATTTGCTTATTGATGGTCAATTCTGAAATGGTAAGTTTGGAAGCTGATTGTTTTTTTTATTTTTTTCAGTGGAAGTTCTCCTCCGCAAGAAGTACCCAAAGACTCTTTTGAAGACGATAGAAATTTGACAGACGCTGATACCTTCGAAGCTGCAGATGATGATGAAAATTCTGAAGACAAGAACGGGATGCAGCCGCTGACGAAAATGTTAAAAAACGCACAGGTCCCTCTGAAACGGTATAAATAATCCACCATTGGTGACAGCTTTCTTAGCTTAATCAATCAATTGCATTAAAATAAAAAGCGATTCAGGTAAAGCGCTACTACGACAAAGGAAACTCTTTCTCAAACTATCAGCTAATTCAAAGCACTTTTAAGTTTTCACTTGGGCTTTATCTTTGGTAAGTTTCATCTTGCATATGCATACGAGTCGGTTCGGTTGGCTAGCTGACTTGAGATAGCTGGATAAATGCAACAGCCTGTCTTTACATACGGCACTAAGCTGAGTAAGTCAAAACGTAATTATAAATGATTTAAATATCCCAAAAAAGCAATTATCCCGAGGAGGGGGGGGGGGGGGGGCCCCTAAAAGAGGCTAAGGGGGGGGGGGCCCGGGGGGGGGCCCGTTTTTCAACACGGGTTTGACTAAAAGGGGGGGGGGATTCCAATAATGATTGTAGGGTGAGGCGGCCGCTTTTGCGATTTTTTGGGGTATACAAACTCTTTATTTTACGTGGCTGATAGATCCCACACACCCCCTCCGACCGCCGCTCTCACGATGATAGAAGACAGGAAAAACACAACAGCCTTTTCTTTAAAAAAACACTAAAGAGAGAAAAAAAAAAATAAAAAAAAAAATAATTAAAAAACCAAAAAAAAAAAAAGCCGGGGGGGGGGGGGGGGGGGGGGGTCCCTTATAAGAGGCTAATGGGGATGTGCCGCTGGATGGGGTCGCATTTTCACGACTGGATTGACTATAATGGGGTGGCATTCTCAATAGAGTTACTAGAGTAGAGTCGCACATTTTCGGATTTTTTGGGGTAAGACAATTCTTCATATTTACGGTTAGCAAACGTACCAGAATGTTTGTATACTGCAGATGAAAAGTAAAGTGTTCTTCATTCAATCAAAAAAATGGGTCAATTCATAGAAAAAGAAATTGACTATGTCGGGATCGCGAAAATTACTACATATTTGCCCAAAAGTGACTTAGTTGGGGTCTATAATTGGCCACAGTCGCTAGACTATAATGGGGTAGGGGCTCTCTTAGGCCAGCGGCACACACCAGCAAAAATTAACCCAAGTACTCCCCCGGGGCAATTATTAAGGCTTTTATTGATTTCAGCGGGAATTATAATCCTGACGATGAGGCAGAAGATGCAAAGGCTTTCTTATGGCGACGATGACGTCGATACTACTACTGTAAATATCACGGAAAGAAATATCACTCAAATAACTGAGCGGCATACCGACGTGCACCAGCCCATAAAGAAATACTATTCCAATTTCTTTCTTCACCATTTGTTTTGCTTATACGTTGGACAAAACAATTATATTTTTGAAAGATGTATTTTACTGTAATTCTTGATAATTCGCACACGATCTTTTGAGATCATGACACTATAGTGACTAGTCGTTTTGTTGTTTTCTTCGAAATAATTTGTTGACGTCATAGGTCACGTTTCATCTTACGTTTGAATGTTACAGATCATGCCTGTTGAATAAGAGGAGAAAAAGCGTAGAGACAGAAAAAAAATACTCGGAATACATTTATCCATTTATCTGTCTTTAAATTTGTGTTTGGTAACGAACAAAAGGAATGTAAATCACGCAATAATAAAATCCCTGAGAATTTAGTTTTGCTTTTGAACGTTATTATTATAGTGAAATTGATCTTAGCATGAAAACTTTAAACAGTTGACAAGTACGCTTGTGTATATTTTGGAAAACAAACTGCCCTGAAAAATGGGTAACCACGGTGGATTCGATCTTGACGGTATTTCGTCATTAACAAAATGCATTTTTTCTTCTCCTCGACATATGGAAAATGGTTCCCTTGGGGGTTTAAAGACGGCAGACGCGCTGGAAAGGGGGGTGGGGGAACCATCCCTATCTTGGTATGTGCCGCTCTGCATGGTATAGGTTTATGGTGGTATCTTTAATCTTCGTAAAGAGTATTCAATTTCACTTAGCTTTTTTTAAACAGAGTCGCAATGTATTTTGCCTTAAACAGGGTCAGAATGGAAGGGTTTCAGCAGCACAGCCCCAAACAAAGTTCCTTTAAATCTCCCCCTGGCGAGGTGTTTCTTTCCTTAGATATAACGATAACTCGGCAAAACCGGCTTCCGAGTTAAAAACGAAAGCAAACAGAAGAGACGAGTAAACGGGGCGGAAGCAAACTAAAGAGATAAGAAATAAATTTACATCGTGAGGGGCAGCAACACAGCCGGAGCAGGAACAGCAGCAGGTGGCGCGTTGAAAATGTACGCAGGCAAAACCACGACCGGCAGAAGAGGTTGTTCATCGGCAAAGATTAGGAGTAGCAGGGAAAATAATCCTTCCGCCCTTGCAGCCAAACTGGACAAATTTCCTTGGACACGTGTTTTTTTTACTTATATACACACACACACCTGAAATAGCGCTCTCGCTTAGTCAAAATTAAGACCAGTATTACGCGAACGAGCACTGGGGATAATTGACATTTTCTCAGATGGACTTTTTATAATTCACTGACTATTCCCTGACCGACTTAAGTTTCTTTTTTCCAACCTCCTGAATTCATTATGTTAATAACACCCGATTTCCAGTCAACACTCTTAAAAACAGGTATGGTATTGTTTACAATTAAATTCGTCCTTGCTTGGGCTTACATGTAACACGAGCTGGTTTATCACGCGGAGAGGGTCGCGGATAGGTCGGTATAGAATCGCCGGTCACACGAGCTTGGTTTGGTTCTCAATGAGTTGATGATTCTAAGTTTGAAGTATGAACACTTGAGAGGTGTCTTTGGTAAAATATTTTAGTCCTTTACAACTTCGAAATGTGGTGCTTAACAGGGTCAACACTTTGATTTACGACACAAAAAACGGTTATATCATGAGTGCGTTAGTCCGAACAGAAACACTTTAGCACGTGGGAAATCACCCGTATATAGGACACGACGTCGTGATGTAATTGAAGCTCTCGATAGCGCCTCGCAAGTCACGTGTTTTAGTCTGGTCACTAGAGATTTTTAGAATCTTGTTTACTGCTACGACAAACGCCAATTTGAATAATGTGACTACGTTTTACTTTTGCTTGTCGTTTATTGTTCATGAACCACACAACTTTTTTTGCGCAGTTTTTATTCCTATAATGGTGAAATATTGTCAACTTGAATCTCAAAGTTGCACAGTTTCCCAGGACGTATGGTGATTAACACAAGGAAGAATAAGTTCTATAAAATCAATGTCCCACGAAATCACAGTCCACACCTATTTATAAGGGGAGGGGAAATTGAACAACAACAACAAAAAAAACATAAAAAAAAAAAA